TATATGCAATCTGTACTTACTCAAAAGTTAACAGGAATATCATTAACATTTGAATTAAATTAGTGAAATCAAAAGATTAAGAATTAGTTTTTAAAGAAACATTAAAATGCCGTAGATAATGAAAATGTTAAATACAAACATCCATTGGAAGCCGATATTCCTTACTCGAAATAATTAGCACAATTGTGTATTAAAAAGTAATCCTAAAAAGTAGCTGTGATATGTAAAATCTAGCTGAAAAATTCCATTTTTTAAAATTAGTTAAACGGATCTAATATATTTTGTAAAGAAAAGGTCAGTAAGGTAACTGGCCAAATAAATAAATAAAATCACACAGACTTAAATAAAACTGTACATCAAAAGATTGCCCATTGTGTGGTATACATGACTGCATTACCTGATGGTGGGGGTGGTCTCTGTGGTGGAACAGGCCGGGTAGGTGGTGCCACTGGGCGAGGGGGAGGAAGACGTTTAGGCTCTAAGCTCTGAGTAGACTCTTTCTGTTGTGTAATTGGTTGAAAATCAACTGGAGAACCTGATCAAGAAAATCAGCACATATTTAATGACCTTGTTAAAAAAAAAGCGCTAAAGATTTTCTATTGAAAAGTTTTTTGTAAAGGTTTCTGTCAATACCACCAACTATGGATACACACACAGTGATCGTGTTGCATTGTCATGTGGCATCGAAGTTTCTGGGAAGCAAGAATAAGAGAAATGGACTTTGGTGAGAGTGTGAATTAATTCACAGGTTGATTAGGAATGATATCTGACAAAAAGTTTGACCATTACGTGTTTTCTGGGTACCTTAAGGGTTCTTATAAATCACATTTCATCAAATACATTTCCATTCTATTTCAACCCAGGCTTTCTTTATTTGCTTATTTCCTTGGAGAAAGGGAAATTTTAAAGGCAATTTGGAGGGTATTCTGTCAGATAAGCATGATCACTGTAAAAAAGTACTTCCCATTACAGTAACACAAACAAACTGTTTAAAAATGAATTTGTGTGGCAATGTTTTTTAAAGTGCCAAAATATCATTACAGTTCCCTATTCCCATTCTTATCACTAAGATTAAGCTGTTTAAACTGAAAATCATATACACAAAGCTCCTTCTCCTACCAGTTGAAGTTAAGTCATGCAACAATCTTGCCTTGTATCATAATGGTACAAATTCACTTTTCACTGAAATGAGATGTATCTAATCCAGGGGTTCTCAACATATCTTTTGGTGGCCTCAGAGTGCTACCCCCAACTCTTGCTGGTGGCCGCTCTGAGAATTTTTCCTAACACACTTAATTAACTTTAGGAAAAACAAATAAATATGCACATATACATGTCCAGATCATTGTAATTTATTTATGTATGGTTTTTTGCAGACTCAATAATAAAAATAATGTACAGTTGTCTATTCTTTACTGGACATAAACAGAATAGAAAAAAAATAAGGTACTTTGCATTTTGGTGTTTTTTTTTAAAAGATTGCTAGTTAGTAAGTCTGCTACTGTGAAAAGTGATATTTGTTAATATCACTTTTCACAGCAGACTTACTCAGCCTTGGCATGCTGGGAGACAAATTAAGCCCTGGATAAGGAGGTGGGTAAGGAGGAATGAGGGCCAGGGGTGATGGGGTCTGGAGGAGACAGTGGGGGTTGAGGTGATGGCGGGGGGGGGGGGGTTGGAGGTGAGTCCAGGGATGGAGTCTAAAACCCTGTGGCTGGGGGACCCCTGCAGGCAGCCCCAGGGGAGGAGCCGCTGCTTTGCTGTCCACCTCAACAACAGCCAGGAGGCTGTGGCCACATTTGAGAAACGTTTATCTAATCAGTGTGGTTAAAATAAATGAGGATTATACTGATACACCATGTCACAGGGTTCTTCACTGGAGGTATAAAACAGATTACTTCACTTATTCTAGTTACCTACAACTTGACCTTGAATATATGTAACCCTGATAAAATAACTACTAACTAGTTTAATATTTACTATATTCTTCAAGGTCAAGTTGTAGGTAACTAGAATGAGATATAGTTGTCTGACTTATGTAATATGATACATACTTTGTGAGGATATAGGTGGTCCAGGAGTTCTTGTAGGTGCTCGACTTGGTCTAACTGGAAGGGTGGGTAGCGGTCCATCTGACAACGTGGGTGATTGGCAGGGACTGGAACGAGGTGAAGAGCCTGGTGAGGTTCCAAGACCAGAACTTGTACCAGGCTGTAGATGTTGAGGAAAAATTTCTTCCACTTCAGTACTATAGTCATCGATATCACCTAGAAAAACAGAAAAAAGCATATAAAGTAAAGGGATCTACAAATTTTTGTCCCATCCACACTGACTCCAGGCATGGAAGTCATTTATTGTGATGTTTACTTTTCATAATGAAATCATCAAAATCCTACGTTTCAAAGAATTAACTAACTACTGAAAGATCCTTTCTACATTATTCTTATATGATACAACCGTTCATATGAAGAATGTAGGCATACCCAGAGCAGCTGGAAATACTCAAACTCTGTGCATATTGAAAATGCCAAGTACAAAAGAAAAATCACAGTATCTAAAAATCTTGATTTTGTACAAAGCCTATCCTTTCAGATGGCCATCAGAGAAGAGCAGGTTCTGCTCATAAAATACAAATAAAGATTTCTTCAGTAAACATTTTAATTAGGTATGTACTTGAAGGACCCAGAAGCTAATTGTGAAACATATATCTAACTGGGGAATAAGTAATTCTATAGTCCAAAGGTTCCTAAAAATAGGAGCCCATGTCCCAAAACAAATGAATAATTCCTACTTAGAAAAATATATCAAGTGAGCTGGGAATGAGAAAAATCCAAGTTGGGAATGAGAAAAGCTTGCTGAGTTCTGGGAAATATTTTCACCAGATATATTAGTCATACCTCAAAGATAAGTAAAATAAGTATATAGCTATGATTTTTCTTTCTGAAGATACTGCTAGATAACAGAGGTCCCTGCACTCCTTCCATCATTTAGGAAAGACTTTGAAGTGCCTTCATGTCCCTGTGGGACATTGCAACAGGTGTCTGAGGTCTTATTAAACTTTTTTTTTATATAAAGTGTATGACTCTTTTCAATAGTATGTTCTACATAGAACTTTACAGTAATTAGAAAGCTTAAATAGTGTAGAACACAGCTGTCTATTTACAAAGCAGTGCTTTATGCAAAGAACTCATACCAGTACTAGGAGATCTGCACTTGCTCTTCATTAATTTCCGGGTGGAATTTAAGATGGCATTTTTAATCAATAAAAGCTGTAAATGGTTTGGGCACAGTACCATGTGTGATACTACAGCAAATGCCTCCCTGCCAGAATCCCACCCACACCCTGTGTGACAGGGCTATCGCGCAAACACCAGGCTAAATCATAGTGTTCCATATGGAAGGCAGCTTTTACAGGTTCTTTGGAGGGCGAATTATGCCCCGCCTGTTCTAAGCCAGCCAGAGGCAGAGTATCTGGCAGCAAGCCGGAGAAGGGAGCATGGCCAGCACAAGCTCTGCTGCAGCTCTGAAATATCTCTAGAAACTGCCAATGAAGGCAATATCCCATACTTATCAGAATTGTTGGAGACACTGGGCTGCAGAAATGAATTCTTCTTTGTATTAATACTTAAACAGTACCCACCCACCCCCCATAGCTCCAGTGTCTAAACTCTGTGGGCCAAGCAACAGAATAGATCTTTGTTTAGGAAACCAGTAATGATATAAATCCACAAAGACAGTAGAATCTATTAAATTACTTCAAAGGTCTGGAAAGAAAAAATACGGTATTGAAATTGAGAGAGTCTAAAAAACGAACAGACCAATTAACGAAAGAAAAATGGAGATCAACTCAGTTCTACTGTTCAAGACTCATCCAATTCTCTGGTAAAATCTCTTCATTGACCATGATAAACAAAAAGCTGTATTAACAACTTTGAGTTGTCAAATAAACAAACTGCAGCCAGAGAATACAACTCACAGTTAGTTAGGGAATATGAATACAGATGATGAAATCACGTGTGTTCAGCTCTTTTTGACATACTCAACTTCTTCAGACAGTATAGGAAGGTCTGGAAGTCTTCTACTTCCCCTCTAGCACATTCAAAAATTGCCAATCCTGCTTGACCAATTCTCTTTCTTGTAGCTTGAGTGAAACCTCAGGATATCAGTACAGTGACCTGAAGTCTTCCTCTTCAGTACAGTACCTTCTTAGCCGTAACAAATCTTTTCCTGAGCTACCACAACGTGCTCACTGCAACTTAATGCAGTGGATCGTTGTCTGGAAAGCAGGAAAGTGAGCCTGGGGCTCCGTTAAATGTCCCTACTGCATTTGGGTTACGAAGGCAGGAAAAGTGAACAGACTAACCCGAGCAGCATCAAGGGGAGAACTGGAAATGGCTGAACCTGGTGGGGGCACTGACCCACCATATGGACTGGGGGAAGGGAGAGGTATTTATACCCTATATATTCTGAAAGGAATTCACGCTCTTTCTCCTCAGTCATTGATCTGCACCACTCACCCTCCCTCTCATGTGAACAGAGTAGGACCTGGTTTCAAGACCGGCTGTGGGCTTGTGCTAGTTCACTTTTTTTCTTTTTGGGGCTAGAAAGGAATTTCCCCCTTCCCCCATCACTAGATTGGCAAATTTGGGGTGGGTTTTTGACTTTCTAGGGAGCAGGTCAAGGACCTGGTGAAGTAGGTAAAGAGATTAGGTTAAGATGTCACAATTTCATAGGCAGTAGGTGTGGCAGGTAGACAGTGCAGGTGCTTATTATTATTCAGAGATATGTTAAGTGAATAAAGTTGTGGCTTAATTAAACCACATCCACTGCCTCTTGTCTTTCTTCCAGAGACAATGTGAAGATTAGCAATACTGTACCTATTTTCAAATATATCTACTCTCTGAGCCAGATAACCAGAGGAGGAATCCTATTTAATCAGTAACGCATACGTCTATATTCTTCATTTGGCTGGTTATTAGATCCCTTTCTTCCCGCAATGAAAAAAAAGGCCATTCTGTAAACTATCAAACCTCTTATGGAGGATGCTGATAACAAGGGTAACTGCTTTAAAATCAAAGGAACCTAATTTCCTTCCATCAGTAAGAGTCCACATTTTTCCTCTTTTGATCAAGGTATAAAATCAGCCACTTTACATACCTAAATTCACTCTGGTCATTTTATCTGGTATTTTCAAAGTAGATTAAGAGAGTTAGGTGCCCCACTCATTGCCTTTCAATGGGAGTTGGAAGCCTAATTTCATTAAAACTAGGGCTGCCAAGCAATTAAAAAAAATAATCGTGATTAATTGCATTGTTAAATAACAGAATACCATTTATTTAAATATTTTTGGATGTTTTCTACATTTTCAAATATATTGATTTCAATTACAACACAGAATATAAAGTATACAGTGCTCAAGTTATTTTTATTACAAATATTTGCACTGGAAAAAAATTATATTTTTCAATTCCTCTAATACAAGTACTGTCGTGCAATCTCTATCATGAAAGTTGAACGTAAAAATGTAGAATTATGTACAAAAAATAACCGCATTCAAAAATAAAACGATGTAAAACTTTAGAGCCTACAAGTCCACTCAGTCCTACTTCAGCCAATTGCTCAGACAAACAAGTTTGGTTACAATTTGCAGGAGATAATGCTGCCCGCTTCTTGTTTACAATGTCACCTGAAAGTGAGAACAGGTGTTCGCATGGCACCATTGTAGCTGGTGTTGCAAGATATTTATGTGCCAGATGTGCTAAAGATTCATATGTCCCTTCTTGCTTCAACCACCATTCGAGTACATGGGTTCTGCTTGATAATCTAAAGCAGAGTGTACCGATGCATGTTCATTTTCATCATCTGAGTCAGATGCCACCAGCAGAAGGTTGATTTTCTTTTTTGGTGGTTCGGGTTCTGTAGTTTCTGCATCCTAGTGTTGCTCTTTTAAGACTTCTGAAAGCATGCTCTACATCTCGTCCCTCTCAGGTTTTGGATGGCACTTCAGATTCTTAAACCTTGGGTTGAGTGTTGCAGCTATTTTTAGAAATCCGACATTGGTACCTTCTTTACGTTTTGTCAAATCTGTTGTGAAAGTGTTCTTAAAATGAACATGCGCTGGGTCATCATCCAAGACGTACAACATGAAATATATGGCAGAATGCGGATAAAACAGAACAGGAGACATACAATTCTCCCCCAAGGAGTTGAGTCACAAATTTAATACGTTTTTTTTTTTAAATGAGCATCAGCAGCATGTCCTCTGATATGGTGGCCAAAGGATGAAGGGACATACGAAGGTTTAGCATATCTGGCACATAAATACCTTGCAACGCCAGCTACAAAAGTGCCACGCGAACGCCTGTTCTCACTTTTAGGTGACATTGTAAATAAGAAGCAGGCAGCAGTATTTCCCATAAATGTAAACAAACTTGTTTGTCTTAGCGATTGGCTGAACAAGAAGTAGGACTGAGTGGACTTGTAAAGTTTTACATTGTTACATAAGTATACTCAAAAACAAAACAAACAAAATCTACATTTGTAAGTTACACTTTCACCATAAAGAGACTGCACTAGAGTACTTACGAGGTGAACTGAAAAATACTATTTCTTTTGTTTATCATTTTTACGGTGGAAATATTTGTAATAAAAATAACAATATAAAATGAGCACTGTGCACTTTGTATTGTGTGTTGTAATAGAAATCAATATATCTGAAAATGCAGAAAGACACCCAAAAATATTTAATAAATTTCAATTGGTATTCTATTGTTTAACACTGTGACTAATCATGAGTAATTTTTTAATCTCAATTAACTTTTTTGCGTTAATCGCATGAGTTAACCGCGATTAATTGACAGCCCTAATTAAAACCCTTTGAAAACCTCAGCTTTTATTCCCAGTTCCTCCTATGCCTCTGAACAATACCCAGCAAATCTAGAAAAAAAAATGATGGCAAATTAATCAAAGCCACTAGCACAGATACAGTGCAAACTGAAACCAAAACTAACATTACTGTGCAAGCTATGCATATGTTGCTGGAGAGTCTCTGATTTTTAAATTGATCACCTTTGGATTGTTTGGCATAAAGTTAAAATAAATCTATACATCTCTTAAACAATTTAATTAAGTAATATATCTAGGATGGAAAGAAGTTAATTTGATTCAGACCTTCCATATCATAGTCTGCAGAAACCTCAGCATCTTCACAAAGCAAAGTGGAACTAGTCGATGAAGGCAATCCAACCATCTTCTCTAGATTCATCTCCTCTTCCAAACTTCTGATCCAGTCTGAGTTTTTCAAGTTAATGTTTATGATCCTTCCTAAAAGCTGAATTTCCACATGATAAAAAAAGACATACTCCAAGTACAAAAATTAACAACTAAGCACTAAAAATCAGTGATCTAAATAAATAAATAAAATACAGAAACACAAAAAGCACATTCTGCTATACAGAATATTATGCACAAGCCTCTACGTTTTTCAGGATTTCTGTGACAAAACAATGATTTTTGGGGCTTTTTATGAAAAGGCATGATCTTTTTCATTCTAATCTTCCTATTACACAGCAAGCGTGTTCCAAGAGTTTTGACCGATTTGTTTCTTTTTTTGACATTTTGACATATTCACTTGCTTTTTAACTATTAATTACTACTATTTAATACTTTTCTAATTAAAAATAAATGTAAAACTATTGTCTGCATTTTAAAAAATTAAAGTATGACTTTTGCATTCTTCACTCTAACAAAAGAATTATTTCCCTTTTTTTTGTCATGACAGTCAGCCTTAATTATGAGCTAAGCAAATTGTGATGATTCTGTAATATGGACTGATACAATGTTAGGATTCAATCCTGCAATCTGACCCATGAATTGAACTCCTACTCCCTGTATGGAGCCTCAGTGACTTCAAAGTTGTAAGACTCTACCTGTGAAGATCAGATTACAAGATCAAAGTCTTATTAGGGATCTAGCCAATTCCAAATCTGAATAGAAGTTACTATGTACCACAGATGAAATCCTCGTCCCAGTGAAATCAATGGCAAAATTCCCAACAACTTTAATAGGATCAGGATTGCTGAGAGCCATTGAACCAAACTGTGAACCCTGTATATAATGGAAATCACTTCAAGCCAGGGGGTGCTGCAGCACCACCTGAACTCCTAGTTCCAGCACCTATGCACAGAAGTGCTAAATTTTGGATTAATATACTCTACCATAAAAATGAGAGCCTAGTCCACACTGTAGTCTCAGGACACTTACATTTGTTTTTTAAGCAAATAATCAAAAGAAAAGTATCAAACCAGTAAAAAAAACAAAAACAAAAACAAAAACAAAACAAAACAAAAAAACCCTCATTTTTTTGCATCCTTAGAACTATAAAAAAGTGAACTCATTTGCAGAAAAATAAATATTAATAGAAGTGAAGTTATCATAGATTTTAAGGCCAGAGAGATAATTATGATCATCTAGTCCAGGGGTGGGCAAACTTTTTGGCCTGAGGGCTGCATTGGTTTTCGTAAATTGTATGGAGGGCCCGTGGCCCAGCCCCCCTCCAATCTGCCCCTCCCCCGGGACTCCTGTCCCATCCAACCCCCCGTGTTCCCTGACGGCACCTCTGGGAACCCTGCCCCATCCACACACCCCCGCTCCCTGTCCCCTGACCGCCCCCGGAACTCCTGCCTGACTGCCGCCTGCCACCCCATCCAACCCCCCATCCTTCCTGACTGTCCCGCGGGACCCCTGTCCCCATTCAACCCTGTCTCCCCCTTCTCCCCCGACAACCACCCTGGACTCCCCTGCCCTCTATCCAACCCCCCCTGCTCCCTGCCCCCTTACCGCGTTGCCTGGAGCACCGGTAGCTGGTGTTGCTACGGCCGCACCGCCCGGCTGGAACTGGGCCACGTTGCCTCCACCACCGCTGCCACCACGCAGCACAGAGCACCGGGTCAGGCCGGGCTCTGCAACTGCGCTGCCCCAGGAGCTCGCTGCCCCAGGAGCTCGCTGCCCCGCCGCCCAGAGCATTGCGCCGGTGGTGCAGTGAGCGAGCTGAGGCTGCGGGGGAGAGGGAGCAAGGAAGGAGCCAGAGGCTAGCCTCCCGGGCCAGGAGCTCGGGGGCCGGGCAGGACGGTCTCGTGGGCCATAGTTTGCCCCACCCCTGATCTAGTCTGATCTCCTCCATACACAAGCCAAAGAACCTCATCCATTTGGCCTTGGATCTACTTAGATATAGGCACTTTTACAACTGGTATAGCAGCTTAAATTACTAAACACGGGTAACAATGACTTCAAATGAGTTCTGCCTGCTTCTGCTAGGACTAAATATGGCCCCATATTTACACTAAGGTTCCAGTTCAGCAAAGAACCTAAAGCCGGGCTTAAGTTCATATCTATTAAGCAAAGCATAAAGTATGTACTTGAATCCCATAGAAGTAAATGGGATTGAAGTACATAAATGCTTGGCAGAAGTTGCACATTAACAAGTTGTTCTCCTGCTAATGCTGCTTATTTGCAAAATGCAGTTTACCATAGTTAAATTGCTGAGTGATAATGAAATAAAATTCAAAAGGAGAGTGTGTGTTACAAATCTACATGCTGAGTGTTAATCTGCTAAGAAACATTTATCTAGAAAACCTGAAAACCACACAGTGCTTAAAGAATTACAATTTAGCAAACTACAGATAATTTCAGTAATTTGTACTTTACCTCAGTACCATTCAGATCCAGAGCGCTCAAAGCGGAGCTTCCTTCCAAAAACGTTACCCACATTTTGTCTTCTACAAACCTTCAAAGTACATTGACAGATAATGTTGAAATGAGAAAATATGATTGAACTACTTTGTTATCTATCATCTATTGACTATCTTATCTTATAGACCTTCATAAATAAAGCAATAAAAAAAAATCAAGGCAAAAATAAATTAAAATTTTCCATTTTAAAAATAAGCCTATTTATTTGGTTCATAGTTTCCATAAACTGTTATTACTTTAAACCAGAAGACAAAAGACAGTACAAATGAAAATTATACAGTACAATTTTTATTTCCCTCTTAGGAAACACTGCTGTGGCACATTATTAGATATCTGCCTAAAGTACTCAAGTTAAATCATATTGTGGCATATGTCAAATCATATTATCTGTCTGTAGGAGTACAGTATATTAGATGCAATTTTCTTTGCTTTATTTTTATATATAAAGTTTGGTTTTACTATCTAATCATCAAAGCCTTTTCCTTACATATATCTTGGGCTTTATGCCATATAAGAACAAATAAGACCCTATGAGAAAGAAGGGAGGGCATGAGGGCTTGAACCTGCAAGGTGTTGAATTCCTTCCACTCCTCCTACTGGATTAATGGAAGGGCTCTCAGCACCTTGCAGGATCTGACTACAGCGCTGGTCCTACAAGCTACTCCACATGATTTCAATGGGGACTAGGGTGACCAGGTGTCTGGTTTTCGATCGGAACACCCAGTAGAAAAGGGATCCTGGTGGCTCTGGTCAGCACTGCTGACCAGACCATTGACTCTCTGGTTGATGGCACCGCGCAGCAGGGCTGGCAGGCTTCCTCCTAGCCTTTGCGGCCAGCACACCTCTCGGCCCGCGCCGTTTCCCGCAGCCCCCATTGGCCTGGAGCAGCGAACCACGGCCAGTGGGAGCCGCGATCGGCCGAACCTGCGGATGCAGCAGGTAAACAAACCGGCCTGGTCTGCCAGGGGCTTTCCCTGAACAAGCAGCGGACCGGCTTTAAGAACCACTACTTTAGAACCACTTAAATTTTTCTGGTATGTGAAAGTATGGGTGACAGGGTGGGCAGCAACCTTTCCCAGCGTTGAGATTAATAAAGTTGCAGCCTCCTGCTTAAAATCCATCCGTGTCTGTCCTCGTTCACTGATGTATTCAGATCAATATATACATGGTAAGGCTACAAAAGGAAATGACCATAAGACTAGGTTATGCAAGGCTCATGAATTTCCCTTTCAGCTGTCTCCATTGATAAAGCATTACTACTAAGCTGGACAGCTTCTCTGGCTACTGATAAATTAGTTGCCACCAAAGATGCATCCAGGTAGCCAACAGATAACTGAGCAGGGAACATGACAAATCCACCCTCCACCAGTGGGTAGTGGATAGAAACAAAAAGGAGAAAGCAAAACAGAAGACAAGAGAAGAGTCAGAAATAGGGACTCCTCTAGATCTTTTAAGTCTCACTTCCCTGTCAACAGCCATGATTTTGGTTTCCTTCTTCATTTCAGGTTTGTGTCAAGATGCCACTTGAAGTCAAACTGACCTGTTTGAGGACTCATTATTTAACAAGATTAAAATTACAAACTGATTTTTTTCTACTCTGTATCTTCTATTTCCCTTTATATTCAGTTTCGTAAGAATTGATGTTTTTATCATCTGCCACCTGTCCCAGAGACTACAGATGGACTTAGTTGCTTATCAGTTTTCACCACATTTGTCCCCAGTGTCAAATTATTGACTTTTGCTAGATCCTATTTTAAAATTGTATCTTTTCAACCCTTTGAACACTGAAGATGAATGGAATTGTTCTTAGCATAATGCAATAAAATCACCACAAATCTCTATTCCTTCTTCCATGCCACTCAGCAAGAGCTCTTTTCTCCTTTCTTAGGTCCTTCTATGCACACCAATGTCCCCATCTATTTCCCCTTGGCTGCTGGGAAGTTTTCCTGCACAGAGCCTATCTAGGCGCATATTTAAATTCCTCTCCCAAGTCATGATATGGCCCACCCTCCACTGGCCAGATACCAAATTAGTTTCCAAAAGGTTAATATTTTGAAATTAAGTTTAAGGGAGGGGTAAAAAATAGAACCCACTACCAATTTTTTGCTTTACAATTTTTTTCACCCATTCTGGATGGAGAATGGAATAAGGCACTTTATAAAAAAAAAACCACTAATATTGATTGCTCTCATCATTGGCCACAATTTAAACAGACAGAATTGAGAAAAAGTCTAAATTCAAACAATGAAGTAAATAAGAACACAAATGCATCCTAAGAAAGTCAGTTTAGAAAGTTGATAAGAAAGTTGATAAATAATAATAAAGAGTATTGGTTAAATGGTAAATAGAAGTGTTCTAACCTTATAAGTATAACTTCACCATAGGCTGCAAACTTCTGAAGAAGTTCATCAATCAAGTTATCATCAAAATAGTTTTCTTCTGGTGAAGAGCTTTTGATGGAGACCATTACAGTGCCATCAGGCGGTCCCTGCACAGCAATCACCTCCTTATAAATTTTCTGTCTCTCTTCTGCCTCAACTTCAAATATATCTATGTCAATCAATGCAACAACAGGCCTTAAAGAAATATACATACATATATATGAAAAGTTAGAAAACAGAGTGCCTGAGGAACACAATAATAAAGCAAAAGCATTACATTTTAGATGGTTAAAGAGTAATACAGAAAGTAAAGTTTAAACCTATGATCAGATGTTTTCAGCTCTGCTCTTCCATAGTGCAATAAAGTACCAGGATTCCATGTGTAAAGGATATTACTTTCATCCTGAAAACTAGCATTCAGAAGATCCAGGTCTTCAGCTATAATAAGCATAAAAGAAAACAAAACAAGAATGACCGCATGGACAGTCTTAAAAAAAAAAAAAATCTAGATATTAAACCAAACCGAAAACAGGATGGGGAAAATTGGAGGCTCTTTTACTTTACACAAATTAACTCTGGCTACTGAGTTGAACTCTGGCTACTGCCATGCAACATTACAACACTGCACACAAAAAACAAAGGCACGCATGTAAAGAAGAGCGAGGGCTATGTATACTTTCTTGTTGAAACGATCTAACAAAATGAACAATTACTTTTTTCTGGTGTGATTTCAGTAGTAATCCCGAAACATTTTAGGAATTATGAATACTGCTGGAAAGCTACTATAAGTAATTTAAATTCATATTGAATTAAACTTATGTAAACTCTCAAACCTGATCTGTCAAATGGCCATTTTCTTCTTCTCCAAAGAATCCGATCTGTCCATGCTGGTGTGCGACATTTTTCACTGGTGTCATAGTCATCAGAAAACAAGTCATATTTGTATGTAGGTGCAAAAGTTATCTTTCCCTCTAAAAATCCCCTAAAGATCTGCATAAACAAAGACATTCTGAGTTATATTAAAAGACAAAAATGGGAAATCATTGTGGAAAACTTCCTGAAACTAATCAAAATTCTGTCTTCTTTCAACAGTAGGAAAAACATGAGCCCAAGCGTGTCTCTCAGAAGAATGTGAATCCATCTTCATATTCTAACTTTTGAATGCATCCTGCATCAGCCATCGTCTAAGCATTTGTCTATATGGCACAGCAAAGCATACCAGAGGGGTGTGATTCGTAAAGCCACTAATGTGCTGCGCTCTAACTGCCCATGTAGACTCTGCAGGCACTGTCTAAAAAGGTATGTAGTTTGCAATAATGTAGTCCGGTATGAAATAGAACTACCTCAGTGTGAACTAGGTACCTTTTAGAGCAGGGGTCTCAAACATGCGGGCTGCATGCGGCCTGCGGGGTTCTTTTGTACAGCCCGCCAAGCTCCTCACGCCCTCCCGCCTACGCTGTGGCGCCGCGAGCCCCGCACCACTCCCTGAAGCAGCTGGAACTACGTTCCTGCAGCCCCGGGCGGGGGTGGGGGGAAAACAGCAGAGGGCTCCATGCTCTCGCTTCCAGGCACTGCCCCCCGCAGCTCCCATTGGCTGGGAACGGGGAACCGCGGCCAATGGGAGCTTTGGGGGAGGTACCTGGAGGAGCAAGAGCAGCACATGGTGCCCCCCCCCCCCAGGACTCCCGCTCTGCTCCGCACCAGGAAGCGGCTGAGCGGGGCCAGGGCGGGCGGGCAGGCAGGGAGCCTGCCCTGGTCACGGTGTTCAGTGCTGCCACCCCGGAGCCGCTCTAGGTAAGCAGCGGCGCCGGGCCGGAGCCCACACTCCACACCCCCCTGTTCGGAGCCCCCCTGCCACATCCTCCCACATCCCAACTCCCTGCCCTGAGCCCCCTGCCACACCCTGCACCCCAATCCCCCTGCTGCACCCCTCACCCCTCTGGAACCCCAACTCTCTGCCCTGAGCCCCC